CAGAAATGTCAGAAAAAGTCAACGACTCACCAATGTAAAAACATGGCTATTTTCACAACAATGAATCAACAAGCATATACTGCCTATTATTTTAGAGCAAAGGTGTATTTATTGTATGGCCAAACCACAATGAGAGTATCTTACAAACCAGAATTACGAAGCCCCCTGATAACGACTACAAAGGTGAAAAACCAACCAACTTCTGACTGTGGTCTTTCTCAGAGCTAGAGCTGAATTAGACCTTGGAGGTATGTAAGTGGTGTCCAATGGCTTAGGTCTGCGCTGGCAGGCAAGGGAAGATCAAGCACAGGAAGGCACTCTAAGCAACAGCCAAAACTGGGCTACATTTGGAATTCTCTAGTAATTCATAAATTCTCCTTCATTTTGCCATAGTGACTGGGAGCATGGAGTTTCCACTCAAAGTAGCAGTGACTGTTCAATTAGCAATTTTTGATAACATTTTAAACAGCTCCTACAAGGAGGGCAAAAGCACAAGGTGCTAAATTAAACTCTTAAAAAACTAGGGAGTAACTGCAGACCCGCCAATATATGACAAGTTGCATAGAACCTACAAAGCAACACTGCTTATGCTCAGAGGAGCAACACTACATCTAAATGTATAACTGGCCTCTGCAGTGCCCCGCTAACTCTCTGGCTTAGCCACCAAGCCTCTCCTTAGGAGGGTTAGGAAGAGTCACATCATTTAAAAGAGCACGGTGCTGTGAGGTAAGGTACATGTGGAAAGTACCTTGGAGTTCTCTGATGAATGGCATACATGAAAAATTGTCTAATGCACTGCCTACTCCAAAACAAATAGTCAAAAGGAGAAAAACAGTCCTGGTAGTTTTTAACATATGTCATGCTTAGTTCAGCATTTTCTTATAGTTCTTGCCCAATTACTTCTGAAATTTTAGCCAGCTCTCACCCCCTTCCTTAAATTAACAAACATGCTATAGCAATGGGAAATCTCTGCTCTCTCCCTGCTTTGTGAAGACAATATAGAGTGAAAAGGGCTAGGTAGATATGATCTGAAATAATGATATGCATAGTTTTTTCTTGGATATTTTTTAAAATTTATCTTTATTGTTGAAAGTATAACAGATGCCCCCCGTAACATTGATCCCCTCCACCTCACATGGGCCACCCCCAATTATGCATAATTCTTAATGAAGTTTAGCCTCCTAGTACTTCACCCAGAGAAAGTTCATTCACTCGTTCATGCTGGCTAGCTCCTTTAACATACGGCTAGTAGTGACAGAGAGAGAAAGAATTCTGTTCACAATTTTGTAAAAATCTTCCCAGATAGTTGCCCCAAACCTCATTAGAGCAGAGCTCGTAGTTCAAATGTTGGATAATTTTAAACACTTATAATACCACTTCCAGAGACCAATCTACAACGAAGATTTAAAATAAGTATATAAATAAATCATTTTTACGAGGACTAATTAATTAGGTGGCCATAACCAAAAAACAATATACCAAACCAACCTGCCTCTGTACAGAGTGCCGACGTGAGCACATGGCAGACAAGCGTAACCGGGGCGGGGGTGAGGGTGGGGGGAAATGATGAAAGCATACTTGCTATTTGAACTTTCTAAAAGCAGCATTCTTAGGCAGCTCTGGAGTGCTGGGAAGCCTTAAGAAACCAACCATCTGATTGGCTTTCAGTTCTTGAGAGACACTTTATTCCACCTTTATAGTGTTTTAAGGGTAATCCTGACTTTTGCCTTTTAAGGAAGAATTCTACCAGAACTGCAAGTGAAGTAGTGAAAAGTGCTGGAAGTTAAGTCATGAACAATCTCCCTCTCTTCTAGGTAGGTGGCATGGTCATGTTTAGTCTTGCACACAGTAGTCTAATTTAATTGCTGAAAGTAATTATTAATTTTTAATTCTTTCAAACTACACCAGAGAATCGAAAAAAATTTTAAACATATACCTAAAGAATGTGAGCTGCAAAAAGTCAAATCTTTCTTTAGCCTTTTTAATAGGTGAGCAGAAGAAAAAAACCAAAGACAAACTTCAAAAATATAATTGCTATAAATGTTAGCTATTTATGTGGCTTTATTATTTATCAAAAATAGAATAAAACACAAAAACGAAACAATTTACAAACAGTATATTCTTCTATTTGGTTGAATAGTTTATGAAGAAATAAATTGCCAAGAAAAAAATAGAGTAGCAGGATTTTATTTTGTTTCTTTGCTATTCTACAGGAATTACATCCTGATTTGCTTAAGTAAATGCTAATGAAATAGAGATTTGGCATCATTTTTATCACAGATGAGAAAGAAAACTTTTCTTAAGAAACATTATTTCAAACAGAAAATGTATTGCTGAACCAAACATAATTTGTAGATAACAAAAATTAATTCTCAGTGCAAATTCTAAGCCTAGTTTAGCTATAATTAAAACTATTAATTAGTCTGGGAATTATATAAAATATTCTTAAAAGATGATCCCTCCTGTTTTGAATATTTATATTCAAAGTTGCTATGCAATGAACAAAATATTTAGATACACAGGCACATACCCAGTATATACTACATGATCACAAAAATATACACTCTATTACTGAAAAATGCTAATATATCTGACACCCTATAAAACAGAATCTCTCAGATTACCACAGGCAGAAATGGAAGGGTACATTTTACTCATATATGTATCTTTATATCTGTGTGTAGGTGCATATTCTCACATTGTGCATAAACTTAAATAAAATATCTTTTAAAATCAGAATTATATGTATGACCTCAAAGCTTGACATATAACTAAATGATCCCTATAATGAGCATCAAGGAAATAACTTCCTTCAAAATAATGTTTTAAATAAGAACTCTTCAGAAGGAAGTGGCTCCTATTTAGTTCTTACTGATGGGTGATGTTGCATAGCATCTCTTTTAAAAGCTTATTAAATGTGGTCATTTCAACTATCCACAACACAAGCTTCATGGTTAAGACCATGTAATATCAGGTCCTAGAATTATGTTAGATGACTAAAGTTGATTTGTTTTCCAATTTTTCCAATTTCAAGAAGGTAAAAATGGCATTTTTAATAAATATAAAAAGTAAAATCTCCTTCACCCTCAATTTAAAAGTATGAAACAAATCTCTCCCCCACAAAGAATTTATATGCATAACCCAAGGACACAGACAATGGTGTGGTGAGGGACTGGGGAGGGGGGTGGAAGGGCTCAATGGGGAGAAAAGGGGACATCTGTAATAATTTGAACAAAAATAAATAAATAAATAAATAAATAAATAAATAAATAAATAAAAAATAAATAAATAAATAAATAAATAAATGTATGAACCTAATCTGGATTGCCAAGACATCCTATCAACTTGAACAATTAACTATGGAAAAAGAACAGCTTAACCCTCACACCCAGATGTGAAGTGAAGTGCAAACACACATATGTTAGAATATCACATCTGAAATGTAGATATTCCAGCCATGATTATTTTCTTTGGTTGTATCCACATTACTTATTATTACTAGATCCAAATAACTTGTCAGCTCAGAAAGCATGCTATGTAATGTCAATATAAAGTTGGCGTTATGTAGAATTACAAAACCACTGCTTAGTTACACTTCTCATTTGCTTTGGAAACGTCAGTCAAACCAAATCCTATGCCTTCTACTTCCTACGTATCTGCCCCGCCTTCTCATAGCTCAGGCAGCCTTCAAGGACGTTCATGAGCTGGATCCTAACAGGCCCTCTGCCCTCATCTCCCACGACGAAGTTCCTTTACTGTATCAAATGCATCACTTGTGGTACCCAGGATGCACTACGCTCCCTCTTGTCTGCTTCTGCACATGCTCCTCTCTGCCCAACAGCACCTTTCTCATCTCCCCACCCTGCCTAATCCCAGCTTATATTCATCACAACAGGATCTATAGTCTGTGGAACCTCTCCTACTAGGAAATAAGGGAGAATTGGGGCAGACAAGGACCCAAAAATACCCCTTTTCTAGGACAATTCTTGCTTTCAAGTAATACAACCAGACATCTTGGTGCAGTGGTACCAAGTCCTGTGGGATTCCAAGAACATCCATCTCACTGGGATCCAGTACTCTGTACATTTTCACCTCTAAGACCACAAGCTATCTGCAGTCAGAGCTCAATCTATTTCATTTACTTCTAATCCTAAAGTCTAACAAAGTACGTAGCATGTCACAGTAAACATTCTAGTACAAGTTGTTGAGGAGACGAATAAATGAGAAACAAAAGCCGGTAAGACTAAAGAATATAGCACTCTGATTTCATAGTAATAGGTTTTTACCCTCAGAAAGCAGGTAAAAATATGAGTCTGAACATAGATTTTTCATATTACAAAAGACTTCTATCTTTTATATTAAAAGGTAGTGTACAATTAGATTTTAAGAGGTAAAAGGTCTTTAAGCTGCTGAGAGTAATTCAACACACTATCACAACGAAACTTGATACAACACAAAAATGTTATTACTTACTTAGTTTTCATCTATTCCTTGTTTTTATGTCTGAACAATACTATGTGAAAAATTAAGTATACCTATTCTTTGTTTCACCAATCAGGTTACAGAAAATTAGAATCAAAGTAAATGTGGACCCTACAAATTGCTTTTGAAAATTTTATAGGTTAATGGCTACTTAGTGCTAATCAGCGAAAGAAAAATGAAAGATTACATTTCTTCTTACTGTACAGTAATAAATCCTGCCCATTCCCCCAATTCTAACATTTTGCAAAATGACTCTAAAATGCAAAAGCCCACAATGATACAATTCTTCCTCATCAATATGAAATGGTAAGACCCACGCAGTTTTCAATTTTAACTGAAACCTGAGTATGCCATAATGTATAAAAAGCACAAATCAAAATGTCCTTTTAACACAGGCAAAATGGCATCCTCAATTCAAAAAGAGATCTCTATTTCCTACATTAGAAAAAGTCATTAGATTACAATCAAAATTCTGACCCAGCTGGAAAGGGTGCTCCAAGGTCTTAGAGAGTCCTTACCTAATCCCATTCGGTTTGGGCTTGTTTCTCGGCTACACCCCTGACTCCTGGGAATCTTGCTTCGTTTTTCTGAAGAGGGTGTCACAGGCGGGCCTCTCGACGAACCCCCAGCAAGGCCACTATAACCACTTCCCAACAATTTCCCTGGAGAACTTGACCGGCTGCCAGCTAAAAATGAAGCAAAACAATATTGAATATTGGATGTAATCAGGGAATAAATTATAGTAATTTCAGAAGCCAGTTTGTACATTAATTTGGATCAAATATAAAAACAGCTTTGTAGTTGGTGTCAGTACTAATTTTTTTAAACTTTAGGAGCATAAAAGAACATCAAATTATCATAAAAGAATATATATAGAAGCATTACTGGTACAGTGCTACAAAAATAACTGCAAAATGTCTGATTCAAAAGAGTAGGCTGAGTACAAACAGCCTCCCTGCTCCACAGAAAATTTCTAGAAATAACCACCACAAGGGTGTTTGTTTATTGTTTTGTTCTTTTTTGCCTGTGAGAGTTGATATGTCAAAAATTTTAAGTATAACTGCTGGAAAAGTAGAAATATAAATATAACAGAAACTTCTTAAACATTACTGGTAGAAAATGGATCCAAGAGAACTCCATTAAGCTAACAACTGGAAGAAAGGGGAGAAAAGAGAAGAAATAACTAGAAACATGGTAAATAAAAATCACAAAATAAGATGGTAGGAATAAGCTCAAACATATAAGTAATCACAAGAAATATGGCTACATTAAATTCACCTATTAAAAAACAAAGCTTTTCGGATTGGCTTTAAAAAAATAAAATAAAATTCAACTGTATGCTGTTTATAAGAGACAAACAAACAGCATACCTAAAACAACCAAACAGAATAAAACACAGCATTAAAAAAGAACAAAGGGGATTGCATACTGATAAAAGAATTGTCCATGAGGATATAATAATCATGAACCTTTATGCTCCAAATAACATAGCTTTGAAATATAAAACATAAAAGTAAAAATACAGGAAGAAATTGAAAAGGTCATTATTATTAATATACCACTCAGAAAGACCAGTAACTACTGAAAAACTATTCTACCTTGCAGAAATTGACAAAAAATCAACCAGTCAAAATTATACAGATATGTATAAACACACCTCCCACATACACACGTGTAACTCAGACAGAACATACATTCTCGTCACCTTTCCACAGGTACTACAAAAACCAACTGGAAATCTCAATAATCTACAAAAGTAGCAATCATGTACACAATATTCCCTGAGATGTATGCAATAAATTAGAAATTAAAAACAAATGATACGGTTAGTAATTTTTATTACTGCTAAGTAGCTGGGTACCTAAATAACCATTTTTTATGGGACAAAATTAGAGAAAACAGCAAAATTTTAAGGTCCATACCAACACACCCAAACGGCAGTCATTTACTTAGGTTATCTGCTTAAATACAGATGGCAATAAAATTCTAAAACACAAAGTGCACATTATTTACCCGCACAAGGATGAGCCAAAGGTAGAAACCTTTGAAATAACACTTACTTGGAAACTAAACACACACACACACACACACACACACACACACACACACACCATTCAAAGAATCACTAAGGTGCATACTGACAAAAATTCGTACTTTATATGATTTAACTATAATTAAAGTGCAATTCACTGTAAAAACCACTAGTGCACATTCCCATGGAGAATCCACCTCATGACCTATTAGTTTTGCCCATAAAATTCGAGCACACAAATAAACCATTAAGCTATCTAAAAGGAGAGAAGAAATCCATTTCAAAATTTAGAATTTGAACACATAGGAAAAATGCAGAAAGATTAATTAAGCTAATACAGAAATTAATATTGTGCAAGAACATGGGGTGAGAGAGAATGAAAAGCAAAAACAAGAAGAGAAATGGCTTACCACCAGCAGGATTAGCAGATCTGGATCCTTGAGTATGAGAGCAGACCAAAGAACAGGCAAAAGGTGGATTAAAAGACAATAACACAATACAGAAGGTCAGCATGCAAACACAACATGTCTTTGTTCACAAACACATTAGCAAAATAGCTATTTTTCTAGTCCCTGTTCCTCCTAGTCTACTTTTGTACTCATGTGTATTTTATATATGTCAGACTACTTAGCATTTATTTTCCCTCCGTCCATGAAACACTTACAAACCCACAATGTGCCAGGCACGGTGCATGGCACAGGGGATGCAGAGAAGAGTAAGAAAAGTGCCTCCTCTCTGGGAGTACATCTGCTCTCCAGAGCTCCTAGAAACCTGAAGGAGTGACTGTATGTGACTAATCTGAGCATCACTACCACCTTAAACAGGGCTCAACACATGGGAAGTGCTCAATCAACACCAGTGAATTAAAAGGAGCTATTAACCAGTTTCACCTGAGTGCCTTATGCCAAATCCTCAAATATTTAAATTTTCAAATACTTAAAATATCACAATTCTTAAGAGCCCTAAATCTAATATTAATAAAATCTACTTACTATTAAACCAGGATGCTGAATGCTAGCATATCTGATACATTTGTAAAAATTATGTATATATGCTACTTTCTTCCTAGTAAAATAATTTTTTAAAAACATTAATTTCTATGTATAAGTTTAAGACCCAGACTTGATCATTTGTTGATGTTGTCTGCTTTAGTGGGTGAAGTAAAACAGAAGAGTTTTTAGGGTGGAGCCCTAAGGCAGGGAGGGTGCAGTGTTTGTGTAAGACTAAATTCAAGCTCTACCATCACCCTCAACCCCACTCCAGAAGGAACTTTTATCTTCACCATCTCCTAAGCAGAGGCCCCAGCGAGGGGCAGGAACCCCTGCAGAGGCCAACACCAATATATGTCAGACATAAACAAAAAAATGTAAAATTCCGTTCAACACACACTCTCTAAGAAAGGAACTAACAGCTAAAGAGTTAGATGTTTTTTATTCAACTCCATTTCAACACAACATATTGAAGTTGAAAGAAAAGGGACCATGACCAGAGTATTAAACCTATTTGTGACTCCAGGCAACACTAGGGTTCAACATAATAACCAGAGCCAGGATGCTGTTCCCAAGGATGAAGAAGCTTCTGGTTCTACTGTACAACCTGTGTTGTGCAGTACAGTGCAGAGCAGAGTAGGAAAACAGGCTTCTGTGTGAGACAAGCCTGGGTTCTGTAATCTCACCCAAGGTAGCAATACAAGTAACCTTGCACTTTTTTTCCAGGAAGGATATAAGCTTATTTAGCGTAAGGACTATAGTTATCAAAGGGATTTGGAAAAGTACCTAAATCCAGAAGGAGCTGAGAAAGGCATTCTAAATACTAAGAGAGAACCTACGGTCTGGCCACAGACTAAGTGCTCTCTATATTAGGAGACAGGCACATCAGCTGAAAGGTGCTGTGTGGAAAGAGCAGGGTAGCTCCTGGGGTACACACTCACTTTGCCCAGGAGAACTCTGACACCCAGCTCCACTCTACATGCACAGAGAGGGAGCAGGGGACTCAGTGTCACAGGCAGCTGGGAAGTGAGACACCAGGGTTGGATCCTAGTAATACATTCATTCCTTCTGTGGCTGCTTTCATGTGTTAGGCTAACAAACCAAGTGACTCAACAGATACAGAGAAGCAATAATGGAGGCGGGCAGCTGTGCAAAGCAAGAGCCCACACTGGCCAGAAGAGCGGAGCAGGCTGCGATGTTAGAACAGAGGGTTAGAGGGGAGAGCTTTCAATGGATTTACTTATGAGCACTGGAAAGAGGACCTGGCATTAACAGTCATCTCTCCAAGTACTGCTCTTAGATTACGTCAGAAGGACTGATTATCAATAGAAAAATGGGTCACAGTCCAGGTATGTTTCAACTGAAGAGCATCGGACAGAGGAAGAGAAAGTACATTTTAATGTTTAATGAGGAATGATAAAAAACTTAAATCACCTGAACAGGAGACAAAAGAACACTTGAATACTGCCATTTTGTAAGCCTACCCAAGAATCATCAAGATTACTCACAGTATCTCAGAGCCACAGAAATGTGTTTTTCCCTGAAGTCAATGAGAACAGGCTGTTAAATAAAACCTAGGTAACAAAGAGCATAAAATACACTTCTTACGCTGGGACTGTGAAACCACTTTAGCGCGACTGCGGCCTCGATTATCAGAAGGTATAGAGGCGACATTGGTGGTGCTCCCAGAGTTTTGCCGTCTCGTACGAATCCGACCTGGAGAATACAGCAAAAACAGTGTTTTCATAGGTTCAGTAAGTGCGACCTCCCTGAGAAAACCACCCACACTGTGAGTAAGGGACTGACTGGGCCAGCTACAGGGGGAGCAGGTCTTCCCCGCATGTGGTCTTGACATGTTTCCCTATGAGAACACACAAGCATAATCTGCACACACAAATTCAAAAACTACGTTAAGGATCCTGGCTGGGTAGCTCAGCTGGTTAGAGTCTCGTCCTGATACGCCAAGGTTGTGGGTTCGATCCCTGGTCAGGGCACATATGATAAACAATCAATGATGCATAAATAAGTGGAACAACAAATCAATGTTTCTCTCTCCCTATCAAAACTCAATTTAAAAAAATATGTTAGGAACTCCTGAGAGTGAGTCAGGAACCTATCACGTGCTTATGCTTCAATTACTTTAGCATATTCTATTTTCAGATGAGGAGGTGTTACCTATTTGAGAATTTTTTTCTAAGATTTTTTTCAGATTAAATTCTCTTTTTTATTAGCTATAAGTCTGTCAAATTTCCAGAATCAGAAAGTATTGGCTGTTGTCTTAAGAAAACTACTATAGGAATAATGAGTCAATGCAAAACTACTCAGCAATCAATGAAAGCTATCATACCCTGGAGAGTAACGGTGTTTTGATATGCAGCATTAAGCTTCTATTTTAAAGCATGTACGCCAATAAATTTCTAGGTTGCAAAAGATTAAGATAAAAAATAAATAAATATTAGCACCTGAAACTAATACAAAATAATATTGAATATAAACTGTAACTGAAAAAATAATTTTTTTAGCCTGGCCAGCCACGGCTCAGCGGTTGAGCATTGGGTGTAGGATTCAGGAGATTGAGGTTCGATTCCCAGTCAGGGCACATGCCCGGGGTTGCGGGCTTGATCCCGGGTGGGGGGCATGCAGGAGGCAGCCAATCAATGACTCTCTCATCATTGATGTTTCTATCTCTCCCTCCCCCTTTCCTTTCCTCTCTCTGAAATCAATAAAGATATATTAAAATAATAATAAAATAAAATACTTTTAAAAAAAGGAAAGAAAAATATATATATATATTTTTTAAAAAGAATAAATACTAGGAGTGCAAGAGAAATGATGACCTAAAAATAATGTAATAATGTAGGCATTTCATCTGTTAACTCCAATTATTAAACCATGAAACCATAAAATTAAAAATGAATTCAGAAATGCAAAATCACTGATCATCAGACTAGTATGAGTAGGGATTAAACTTTAAAATTAAGGCATTTAGTGGTTTCCAAGGGGTATAAAGTGCCTCCCTCTCCTGACGTAATTCAATAAGAACAGCAATCTGATAGAGAAAATACAAACCAATTAAAATCCCCATTGGCTTCTTATATTGTTCAAAATAACTTGTACTTCATCATCTGAGAAAACTTACAGAAAAGAAACACAGAAAAACAAATCTTAAGGTTTGAGAAAGGTTCAAGAAAGGGAGGTAAGGAGCAATAAAAGAAAGCACTGCATCAAAAAAATTAAATCCAGAATGAATGACTTCATAGCAGGTTTAAGGAAAGACATACAGGACACAAATTCTAGAATCTACACTAACATTAAGAGCTATACCGTATCTTATACTAAGAGTGTACATGTGTTAAGTCAGAATCCTCACAACATATAAGTAATTATTCCCAGTTTACAGATGAGGAGACAGAGAAATGGGGATTAATTAATTTGTCCAAGATTGGTCTGGGTACCTGTGCCTGCCTGCTGGACTACGAATGAGGACTTTTCACTTTCCTATGGAAATCACCAAGCTAAATGAAAATGAAGGCAGTCACCAAAGCAACATGAACAAGAAAAATGACTGAATTTAATTTATTTTAAATTAATTATAAAATATTTAAGTCACAAAAGGAATTTTTAAATGAACATCCATACCCATCCAACTTAAAAAATAAAAATCATCTTTGCTTATGTCCCTGTATCCTCTACATTTGGTAACATGATCCTAAGCCCAGTATTCACTACTCTCTTGCATTTCTTTCTATTTTCAATAGTATTTATAGTTGCATAACCGAGAAATAGGTGGCATTATTTTTTATGTTTTAAATGTTTTTTAATTATATCATAGGGTATATATTTTCCCAAAACTTACTGTTTTGCTCAACATTTTTTTTTGTGAGGTCACTTATGGAACTGATTTTTCTGTAGAAGGTAAAGAAGAGATCCGTTTTATTTTTTCCATATGACGAATCAATGTCCAAATCAATTTACTTAACCCCTTTCTTACTGATCTACAAAGCCATCTCCAACATCTACCAATACTCATCGTATATATGGATGGGTCTGTTTCTCGGCTATCTAGTCTGTCCCAATAGTCCATGTGTCTATACCTGTGCAACATCACCATGTTGTGATGAGCTTTAAAAAAAGTCTTGGTAATTGGTAGGGCAAATAAACCCACTTTTCCCTAAGGCCCTTTGCTCTCCTCCACATGCATGTGAAGATACAATAAGAAGACCTAGCCCTGGCCGGGTGGCTCAGCTGGTTGGAGCGTCATCCAAACACACCAAAAGGTTGCAGGTTCAACCCCTGGTGGTCAAGGCAAGTACAGGGGGCAACTGATTGCGGTTTGTCCCTCACATCAATGTTTTCTCTCTCCTCCTTCCTCTCTCTCTAAAATCAATAAAAACATACCCCCGGGTGAGGAAAAAAAATACCTATTAAAATCCTGACTGGCATTATGTGGAATTTTGGGTGAATTTGGGGGGAAATGGCAGCTTTATGACAATTATCTTTCCACTCACTAATGTTTTCTTAATTTCACTCTCTTCAGTGTCTTTCGATAAAGTTTTCTTTTTTTTCCTCAAAAGTCTTACTCAATTTTTATAGACTTATTCAAAGGTGCCTTATATTTATTATGCACAGTAAATCTATTAAATTATACTTTTTAACATACTGACAAATAAGATTATAATATTTATATTTGGTCTTAAATAGAAACCTTGCTAAACTTTTATAATTCTACTAATTTACATGTAGATTATTTGGGGTAATCTAAGTAGAATATCATCTACACATAAGACTTTAGGTTTTCCCTTCAGACTGCCCTTTCATTTCTCTGCTTTTACCCTGTGGTCTTGGACATGTGGTAAAGCATAGGAATAGACTTTGTTGCCTTGAGCCGTATTTAAAAAAATAATAATTCTGGAATTTCACAAAAAGTTTGATATTTCAACAGGTTAAAAAACTCACTTCTATTTCTAACTGCTAAGAATTTCTCTCAAAAATGTTTGTTGAACTTTTTAATGCCTTGTCTGCATCTTCTACGAATAAGAGGATCCTGCTCCTCAGTGCGTTAAGCTGCATCAGTAATTTTTTTAAAGTATAAAACCTGGGCTAAACATGCACGGTCAAGAAGTACGCCTCACATAAAACTGCACTATACTACTCCTTATCTGACTCTAGCACCAAGGGGATGCCAACCATACAAACCAGGGAGAGAAGTGCTCCCTCATTCCATTCTCTGAGTTTACTTAAGACCAGAACATCCCATGCTTCTTACAACTAGTATATGTAGCCATTTGAGCATCATAGGGACTTGGGGGCTATCTTTTCTATTTTAACTAATAAATTACTTTTTGGCAGTGGGGATGGAGTTTTAAGTACTGATTCAAATCATTTAACGAGTAGTCTTATAATTAGTCATGTTTTTTGTTTCTTCTTGAAGAAAAAGTTTTGGTTTTTCTAAAAATTTGTACAATTTGTTTTAAAATTGTTAACATAAAGTTGTTATAGTTTTCTCCTATTACCCTTTAAAGCTCTACTGACCCACACTAGGTGTATTTTATCATTAATAGTTTATTTGTACTTTTTCTCTATTTCAATGGACCTTTCCAAAAGTTGGACTATTTCATTAATATTTTCAAAGAATTTTATAAAATTTATATTTCTTAATCCTCTCTAGTAAATGCTCATTAGCTTTTATCTTTATTATTTCATTCCTACTCATTTTGGGGGTTATTCTGTTCATTTTCTATCACACTGGAAACATTCCCAATTTAGATTCTCTTTTAGTACAAACTTAAGGCTATGACTTCCCCTCTAAGCACTGTTTTTGCTTCATTCCACAAGGACTGATACGTAGTCCAGTATAATATGCTGCTTTTTAAAAAATCTATTACTGGATCTCATTTGCTAATGTTTTGCTTTGGAAAAATAAGTTGGATCCATACTTCACACTTCACACAGAAAAACAGCAAATGAACCTAAGATTAAAATGTGAAATATGAAATCATGGAAGTTCAAAACGTAGAATTCCTTTTTAACTTCTAGTATAAAAGTCCATTCTAACTGTGACTTAAAATTAAGTCATTGAAAGAAAAAAGGTTCCTAGGAACCAATAAGCAGTCAACCAACCAGTGGTGTGCAGGTAAATGTTAAACAATTGGCTGGGGAGGCGGAGTGGGATGGGTGGATTCTGGTTCTACTGATTTCTGGTGTTTTGCAATTTCCCTGGTATGAATATTCCCACTATGGCCAATTTCAGGCTACTGATGTGACTTCAACCAACTCCCAAAATTCGTGAAAATTTACAATTGGCTTTCATGATGATTCAAGCCAGCTGGCTCCAACACACCATTGCCACAACCCAATGAGGGCAGTGAAGAGAAGAAATACAAATGGCTCTTAAGTGTACGACACAGTATTCAGCCTCACTCATAAATTAAAATGACATTTAGAATGCCATTATCTCCTATCAGACTGGCAAAAATCTAAGAATTTGCTAACATCTGGCACACGGAAAAACTGGCACTCTCATTCACTGCTGGAGGGAGTGAAAATTAGCAACAGCCTCTTACAGAGGGCTATTTGGCAATTATCATAATTACAAATTCATGTATTTTTTAATCCAACAATTCCACTTTGGGTAATTTATCCTACCAATATACTTGCACCCAGGGAAAATAATGTACAGTGGAATCTCGGTTTTCAAACTTAATTCCTTCCGGAAG